TTTGGCCACCTAATGAGAAGGAAGGACTCACTGGAGAAGAGCCTCATGCTGGGAACGATGGAGGGCAAAAGAAGGGGCGACAGAGAATGAGGTGGCTGGATGGAGGCACTGAAGCAGTTGGTGTGAGCTTAAATGGACTCCGGGGGAGAGTAGAGGACAGGAAGGCCTGGAGGAACGTTGTCCATGGGGTCGCAATGGGTCAGACACGACTTCATGACTAACAACAAAGGAATTAGCTTTGTAGAGTTGCCATGTTTTCCCTCAATTCAAAGCATCTTGTCTTTTCCTATCAGGAGCATATTTTTTGGTGCTAATATCCTTCATGCGATCTGCCATCTCGTTGTTGCTTGAAGAACCAAATTCCTTTCTATCTCCTGAGGCTTATAGACTTGCATGTTAAAATCCTTGATAGTTTTCTGTCATCCTTTGCCAGAAGAGGTACCCATCCTCAGTAGCTAAGAACTGGATGCTTGTCACTGTAGGAATAGAGAGCCAAAGATTTCCAAGCTGGAGATATCAGGTGTTTGAACAAGACTTGCTTCAAGACTGATGACTACAAGGCAAAACTCTGAAGCTGTGGGAGAAGAGAAAGCAAAATATTTAGGGTTGGAGAAGGGAGAAGATGAAACTGTACCCTCTTATTAGCACAGAACATCAGCTGTTCTCATGCCTTCCCCCAGATAAAATCTCTTATCTAGCTTTTCTATTACGTTTCAGCCAGAGAGGCTGAGGCCATTTGGCCTTCAACAACAACTCCTTGTTGGGCATTTTTGCGGTCACAGAACTAAACAAGGCCCAGATGACTGAATCAAGGAAGATGGTGGTAGAATGGAAATAGCCAAATAAAGCACAGAATGTGCCTTTTCACTTGAAATCCACAAAAGGTCAGGTTAGCCATCTAAGTACCAGGCAGTTCCTTCCTCCCCTCCGTGCAAGGATTATCCTTTGATTCTCTTTTCATCAGGTAACCAACATACCTGCTCTTTGCTTTCAGGGGAGATGATGCTCCAGTGTTGCCACTGGCAACCACTGGACTGCTGGAGACTAATTCAGCTGTTTCCCTAGGCAACAGTTGGAGGGGAACAGCCTTAGTAAAAAATGCAGGGCACAGATCTACGTGGAGCAGAGCCCATTGGCCAACTGCAGAGTCAAGCTGCATCTCCTGCAGCTTCTCCTTTTGCCCTTCCCTGCATGGTCCACATCTGTAAACATCTGGACTAATTGTGCCAAATTAATCATGAGTGGTCAACATTGGTGACAGAACAGTCATTAGCATGTATTTAGCTCTCAAAATCTGGGAGCAGCGAGAATAGCTTTTTCCATGGCTGGGTCAAGGTCATTTGGTAGCTGCTATTAGTAGAAGAAACAGAATAACGAAGAGGAGAAATATACAATGTGAAGTTACCCTCCTTGCTTTTGAAGATTGGTAAAAAAAAAAGGACAGAAAAAGAAATGTGTATGTTTTGTGAATCACATTATCTTTAAATTTTGCCTCCATCAGACCAGATCAACTTTCATCTCAAACACACATACGAGGGGCCTCAAGAGTATCAACAGCCCTAAGTGGCATAGTGGTTAAATGCAGCATTATAGGCAAACTGTCCACAGACTGGAGTTTGATCCCGACTGGTTTAAGGTTGATTCAGATTTCCATCTTTCCGAGGTCGGTAGAATGAGGACAGATTGTTTGGGACAATATGCTAATGCTGTAAACAACTTAAGAGAGTTCTGTAAGGCACTGGAGGGTGTTTTTTGTGTCCAAGTGCTATTAATGTTGATAGCTGTTTTATCAGATCTTACGTAGGGTGCCCCAGATGGCTGCTCATCTTCCTTGAACAGGATCCAGCTAGGGATGGGGCCTTACAACAGCAGGGCGTGTGGAATGTCTCAGTGCAGCTACTCTTCTAACGAACTCAAATAGGGAACTCCTCTTCCCGGCACCTGTTGCTGTAGAATGCCATAGGAGCCTAAGCTCTGCTTCAGCAGACAAAAAGCCGGTCTATCCAACCTTCTGTGGCCAAATAAGCGCCTGGGGCCGGTTCCCAAGAACATGAAGCAACAGCAATTATCATTTGGCTGTGCTAGCAATTCACACTAAGGCTTATTTTGCTTTTCCTGTTGGTTGAAACATCACTACTTAATAAACCACCAACTACTCAAGTGCCTCAGTGATTACGAGGAAAACATAATCTAAAGTGTACAAGGAGAAAAATTAACATCAACAATTATGATAAATCAGAGTCTGTTTATAATGTATATTTAAGATCTTTTAAACAGCTAGCAAAGAGGCCAACTTCCTCAATTTTAGGGAGTGTATTTTAAAGAACTGGGAGACTGGAATACCGTACAGCCGTAGCCTTCATGATGTTGCTCAGAACCTGGGATGGGTAAACTAGGCATACCAGGTAAATATTTCAGGTGGTCTTAACTCTTTATGTGTGGCCACTGGCAAGATCCTGGGAGGGTTTTAGTCAAGAACTCCAGTGGGCACAAAGTAGTTCTTCCCAGCTCTTGCTAAGGAGTCCCAGACTGGAAGTTGCTTCTCAATTTCAGTTTCCAGCTTCAAGGCAGGGCGGCCTTGGGCCTTCTGAGCCTACCCCTGCACAGGCTGTTTACAGAGTCTGGCCTGGAGTGTCCAGCACCACAACCCAGAATCCTGACTTGGGTTTGTCCAAGCTTTTTTTTAAAATATATTTTTATTATTTTTAAACAAAGCAACACATACAAAACAAAGCAAGAAAAAACACCCAACTTTCCTCCATTTCGTCAAGCATCTCGTTTGGTTACAAGTTTTTGTGCATTTTGTCCAAGCTTTTTTTTAAAATATATTTTTATTATTTTTAAACAAAGCAACACATACAAAACAAAGCAAGAAAAAACACCCAACTTTCCTCCATTTCGTCAAGCATCTCGTTTGGTTACAAGTTTTTGTGCATTTTGTCCAAGCTTTTTAAGACCGAGAACAAATGGTTCTTTACTCCGGAGGCCCTCAGAAAATCCCCGTCTATGGAAGACCAGGAAGTCATCATTTCTGGTTGGGCCTTGTGAAGAATTTATCCACATTCATCTAGTCTGCATCCATTGTAAACTAAGGAGTCTGCTCATACAAGGGCTTTCTCCCTACTTTTGCCACACAAGAACAACAAGCACACAGAGCTGGTTCCAACTATCTGCAACCTTCCGCAGGAGAATCTAAGGAGGATCCTCTTAATTCTATCTTAATGTTAACTTTATAAACTGCCGACCGGAGCTTTTGTCGTATAATTCTTGTCCTTTGCTGTGGTTTCACCCTCTCCCAACTTCCAGTTCATATTGTGGAGGGCTCCGTTCAGGAGCTGCCAGGATCTTTATTTGGCTGGAAAAAAGCCTCTTTAGGCCTTGGCTGCGTTTCTCCGCCAGCGGCTCCATCTGGAAAGAAAGCTGGAGGCTGCCCGGTTTCCTCGCGG